TCGGTTAACTGACCGCGTTCTAGTCGGCAAATTCAAATGTCCGCTAGTGATGTGGCGCTACAATATTTGGCTATGTCTTGGCTACTTTAATATTATTTTTACGTGTTTTAGCTGGCAACAATGGCTCGACCATGAAAGGGAGCCAGTATTTAAATGAGGCTTAATTTTCTAATTTTTAACGATACAATAGCAACGATTATTATTTTAAAAAAATTTTTGCTAGGCTTAACATCAATGAAAATTCAACACGAAGTAGGTTAATAGTGATATACTAATATACTAATTACATGGGATATACTAATATACTATACTAATAATGTATTTTTTCATATTTTTCGGTTATCCATTTTTTCAGTTATCTGACCAACCCCAGTCCCCAATTGAGTCGGATAATCGATGCTCTACTGTAATTTTAATAATCATAAAGTTTTTAAAATTATTGAAGAATCAATATGTTACATTTGGAAATCAAAATCAATATAATCTATTGAGCTAACAAACTATTATAAATATAAATATTTCATTCCTAAAAATCCTTAGAAAAATATTTTCTTTAAGTTTCAAAATCAAAATCTTATTTAACTATTTCTGCCTGTTTTCTATGTTACTACAACTTTTACTAAACTGTAATGGTAAATAATTAAAGTAAATGTAAAATAATTACAGAATTTATAAACTGAATATTAATTCAAGCAAAATATTAAAATAATTAATATTGTTTAAAATATAACTTACCAAATATTTTTAAATAGATTTCTAGAGATGGTTTTTGTTTTACATTAGCATCAAGAAATTGTTTGACTACTTTTCTTAAATTATCTGCAACTTTTTGATCAGGATAAACAAATGATAATTCTTCACCACCAAAATTTGATACTACTGGAATGAGTCCTTTTATTCCTAATTTTCTCACAACTTCAATGAAATTTGTAATTACCCATTGACCAACATTTATATTGGAATCTGAAAGCTGTCTTCTAATCCAAATTCCAAATTCTTCCCAATCTACAGTAAACAAACTTTATTAATATATTTTATTACTATTAAGAATATGTTTGCTAAACAAATGAACATACTTTTTGCAGTTATGCCTGTTTCAAAAAGATTATAATATTTGCTAAAAAGTTGGACTGTATAATTAAAAGTGGAAGAATATGGTAAGGCACTGAGTGTTTCAAATATCACTTTATGTTCATATTTTGATCCAAAGCCTCTCATTTCTTTTGGTAAAAAGTGGAAATCATAAAAAGAGGAGTCTCGATATGAGCGTGAATGATGAATAGGACTACAACGAATATCTTCAAGATAAATTCCTTCTGCTTTAAAATGTTCTTTTAATTTATCAGCAAAAGTGCTAAGAGAAAAAAATTATATCATTATTACTCTATAAAGAAAAGAAATGTTAGCATTAAATAAATAGGTGTACTCAGTTTTAGTTGATCCAACATGTTCTTGTTCTATCATTTGGACATCTGATGCAATGTAGCACTTTACTTGTATACTTTTTTCTTCTCTTAATAAAAGTGCTATTTCTTTTGCTAGATCATCATCATCAAATAAATTAACTAACACATCATAAGCAGCTAATCGAACTCCTACTGCACGAGTAGTATCTCTCATTAAATGAGTAAGTTTTTTGTGGATGTAATTATTTGGTTTCATTCTGTACATTGCCTAAAAAAATGGTTAATTATTAAATTAATAAATTAATTACTGCATTTAAAATTATTATTGATAATTATGCATTTTATATTCCTTATTTTCAATTCCTTCAATTCAAATTCATCTAATTACAGAAGTTTCAATTTTTGTTAAAAAGCATTTATTTTCTATTGAATTCTATTGCATCATACTTTAGTATTATTGAATCTAAATATATTAATGTTTATCAAATAGAGGCCCATAAATTGGGTCCAATAAGGATTATTATTGGAATGAGATAATTATAATGAAATGTACTAATATCAAGGTGTAAACTTGATATTAGTACATTTCCTATTTCCATATGCCTATTGTCTATTAAAGATAAGATAAATTCTCTGTATTTTAAAGTAGTTTCAGTGAGATAATTTTAAAAAGAGATCTAAGAATTAAAAATAGTTTTAAAAAATTACGGCTTTGTATTTTCAAAACAAAAAAAAACAAACATTGCAGTTTTATAGCTGTATCTCTTTATCCAATAAATACACAATACAAACTATCTCAAGATGTCATCATAATATAGTCAATTTTCAATTTTCAGATTTGAGTGTAATTAAAATTTCAATTAAATTTTTATCACTGTTGTGAAAGCATTATGTTAAGCAACATGTAGATATTGTCAAAAATGAAAAAAAAAAAAAAATTTGTAAATTGCTTTAACCTTGTTTCTAAAATTATTTTAAAGCTGAATATTAGCAGCTTGAGTTAAATAAATCGCTAAAATTCATAATTGAAAAAATTTTTAGGTATCATCAAATGATATAAAGCAAGGCAGTATTGCAAAAAATCCCAGGTGTTGCCTAGTTTATTTTATGTAAAATTTGTGAATTCAGACAATGTCTTTTTGAATATAGTTATTCCAAACTACACAAGTCTTAAATAAACCTGTCATCTTAAAGCAACTATTATTATTAAATAATTAATTTTTTTATTTGATTTTCATGGTGTTCTACTTTTATACAAGCTTCAGAATGTTTGTCTTTTTTGATTTAATAGCTATCTTGCAGTGGCATGCCATTCATGGAAGCTGCCAAAACACTGCTTCCCTTGTATTTTCTAAAATATAAATACATATTGTATGATTATTTTAATATTTTAACATACTTTGAATTAATTAAAATTAATATTTTATTATAACCATATTATGTATTTTATTACAAATTTCTACACAAGATAAGATTGCTATTGTATATTTGAATATAAATTCGTATATGCATATTCCCAATGGAAGCACTGTATTGTCGAATATGGGACAGCTTCCATGGCAAATATATTTGAATCATGTAAAGCAGCCAGATTATATGCATTTGCGCATGCACTTTACAGAGCACCAACCTCATGCAGTTTAGCTTCTGGATGCTACACACCAAAATATCGTATAACGTTTCCAATGATTCTATCTAGGGCCGGTACAGCTTTTCTATCATTAAATGTCACTGCACGCCACTGCTATCTTATCAAATGCAAGAACATTTTTGGAAATTCTATTGGTATTAATTAAAACAATCATAAATGTTTTTTAATTCTTGATATATTGAATTTTCAGAAGCTTTATTTAACTGATAGAAGAGAACAATTCTGATAAAAATAAATTATAAAATGTTTTTTACTTTTCAAATATTTTTAGTTATTTATTCATTTAAAAATTCATTAAATATGTTTTTATGAAATTAACATAAATTATTATTTTATTAATTATTTATTANTTCTACCTTTAAATGAGATTATTAGTAACTGATACTGATAAGAATTAAAATTATAAAATGAAATTTTATTTTTATTATTATTTTTTATTTTATTAATTTGTAACAAACTGTAATCAATTTACAGTAGCAATCAAATAACTATTTTTGTTTTTAAATATTATTTGGAATTTTACACAGTTTTACCAAGCCCTTTGTATTATATAAAGATTTTAAAAAAAGAATACTATCTAATATTCAAAACTTTAAACAACAATAACCATCAAAATTATTAATCTAATATTATTTTTTTCAAATGTTTACTATTTCTTTTATCTGAACTTGATCAATATCTAAAACAAATTTTACAAATTAAAAATATTAAGTGTTATTAACTTGTTATAAGTAAATATAAATTACAAATTTCAAATCTTTTAAGATGTAATTAATTTGATGCAAAAATTAAAAAAAATTGAAATTCTGAATTACTTCCAATAATAATAAAATTCTTACTTTAATAGCAGCCACAGATACTTCTAATGATGTTTCTTTACCAGCTGCACAAGAATATAATTGTTTAACAACTGTATTATGAGCAACTCTGGCAGTATCACCAATATTTCCAATTGTCTAAATATAAATAATAAAATATTATTATAATATAATAAAATACTATTATTGCTCATCTTTTACTGTAATATTATATAATTCATTACAAAGTTATTAAAAATCATATATAAAACTTTTAAAACAATTTAATTATTATATTGTTCATACAACTGTAATTTGTAAATATGAACAATATATTGTTATTAAAATTTAAAAATATCAATTACATAAAATAAATACATTTTATTAGAAACCAAACACAAAAAATCATATTTTTCAATAAAATTAATTTTCTATAACTTTAACTTTTTAACTATAACTTTTTCACTGAGAGATTCTCTGTTAGATTCTGATGGGAGAAAAGTGAAAGCATGTTATTAAGATGAGATAGTAGTTAATGTATGTTTTAATTATAAAAATAACCTTTAATTCAAATAATTTCAATTTATCTTTGATAAAATGAGATACTTTATTCATAATCTTGTGTGTTATCTTTATCTTAACTTAAGAATTATCTTTGATTTGTCTCTTAATTTTTAATTCAGGTTATTTGGGAGATTATCTGTGACTGACTGTGATGGATTACTGCACATTGTACTTGATTTACACTTTTTGCATTTTTCCATGTATGCAGAATTTACAGCTTCTAAATGGAAAACTTTTTCACTGAGAGATTCTCTGATGGGAGAAAAGTGAAAGCATGTTATTAAGATTGAAAATTAATTAATTTTGAAAATATTAAAATTGAGCAGTTGTTAGGATTGAAAGGAGATTTTGAAGTAAAGTACAGTATGGCTGCATTAATTAAAATGAATTGTAATTTGAACTTTAATTTGAATGATTTTCTAATGCATTTAAAGTGTATCCAAGTGTAGGTGTTTAATATAGATAGAACTTTGGCTGATTCAGATATGTGCATTGAAAACCTGAAAAGGATGGCAACCATGGTTTAGGATCTTTAGATGATATTGTGAACAATTCTGAATCTCAATTAGAAGCAATTTTTGTAGTTGGTGTGTTTCAGCAGATGAAATATTATTATTATTATTATTATTCAGGTATTAAAGAGTCTCATGGTGAGAATAAGGATCTGACTTGCTCTGTTGTTTTAGATTTATTTAAAAATTCTCTCAAAATTGATTTAACCATTGGCTATGTTTAGACAGGTGAAGAGAGTATCAGAGAGACCTAAACTTATTTTCTGTAGTTTTTTGAATTTGGAAATAAAATGAGTAAAAAGTACATGTTAACCCACTAGTTTGGAACTGTACTGGTGTGGTTAATAAATCTTTGTTGTTTTGGTCTTATATTCAAGATTATGATACATTTATTTTCTTTCTTGAAACATGGTTGGATGGCCACACTATATTAGTGTTAGAAAAATATCTGTATTTATTAGAACTATTGCTTATGTCAAGGTTTTTGTCCACCAGGTCAAAAATGTTCCTTTGTTGGAAAAGTTAAACAGTTGGCTACCTGAAAGTAAGCATTTAATATAGATAATTATGCAAGGGTTTTGCATATCTTGAGGTGATTATTTAATTGGCAAATGGCCTTTTGAAACCAATAAGGATATTCAGGTTTTGGCAATGGTAAAGGAAGATTTTTATAAATTTTGTGTTTGTATTTTTATGGGACATTGCTTCATTGTTCTGTTATATTTGCTATTAGTTCAATGTGACTTTTTTTCTTTGGGAGATTATCTGTGACTGGCTGTGACAAATTATTGGACATTGTACTTATTTTATATTTTTTGAATTTTTTCAGATATTTTTTGCCTTATTTATTTATTTACTTTGTTTTTAATTCTAACATTGTGTAAATGGTCTCTAGCTTTCCCAACCACTCCAACCGACTGAATGAAAGTCAGCGATCCATAAATTTGAAATCTGCACAATTAAGTGCATCAAAGGTATCTATACTAACTCATGATTTCTTGTAAACTCTCTCTTGTGACCATTATTCAATAGCTTAGAGCTATGTATTCTTTTTTGTTGAATTAAATTGGTTATTTTAGTTGTTAACTTTGTATCAGCGTGACTCACTTCTGATCTGTCTCTCAATCCTCCTCCATCCCGAATCCAACCGCCCGTTCACGTGACCGCTCACGAAAATTCCGAAGTTGAAGTTTCTGTGTTTATCCTGAAGACACAGTGGTGTCAGTCCTGACGAGGCACTAAAGAGGTGCCGCCCCTCTGATTACATAATTGCTGTAATATTTTGATCTGTATATTGTACAGTTATTGTAATTTTTATTTCTATATAATGTTCAATTTTGTTTTATTTAATTTAACTCCAGTACAGAGTTATTGTACCTTGTACTGAATAAAATAAAAATAATAAAAAGTTTCAGGTTATTTATGTTCATTAGATTAAGATGTTATTTTGTGGAAAAGAATTCTAATAATCAGATCTGAAATTCAAACTGAAAATGTTTAATCTGGTAAATGACATGCAATAGTTTTGAACATTAACATTTGAATCACTTAAATACAATTTCATATAAAGAAATTTACAGTAACACAAACTAAACATACAAAACAATTATAAGTTGAAATTGAACAAATAATTCAAAAGATAATTTTTTGAATTTTTTGTTTTGTTGCATTAATTTATTTTCTTAAAAATCAAAGAATCTTAAGATGTAAATTAGAAATATAAGTGCGATATATTTATTTAGATTTTCTATGTGGGAAAAAAATATAGGGGTTGTTTCAAAAATACATAAATAAATTTAATTTTGTATCTCTTTTAAGCCAGCACACCAATCCCCCACTGAAAATTTTTTCCATAGGCCAACTAGTAATAATTTATGTCTTATACATAAATCTAAAGGTTTTCAAATTTTACATATTTTTATACCTTAATTCTGCAGATTAACTACAGTGGCTAGTTCATTCTTACCTTTATAACTGTAAGAAGATATTCATTTTTGTCAGCTGTTGTATAATCCGATGGGAATGTTACATCTTCTACATTGCAATCATCACTAATATCCAAACACAAAAAATCATATTTTTCAATAAAATTAATTTTCTATAACTTTAACTTTTTAACTATAACTTTTTCACTGAGAGATTCTCTGTTAGATTCTGATGGGAGAAAAGTGAAAGCATGTTATTAAGATGAGATAGTAGTTAATGTATGTTTTAATTATAAAAATAACCTTTAATTCAAATAATTTCAATTTATCTTTGATAAAATGAGATACTTTATTCATAATCTTGTGTGTTATCTTTATCTTAACTTAAGAATTATCTTTGATTTGTCTCTTAATTTTTAATTCAGGTTATTTGGGAGATTATCTGTGACTGACTGTGATGGATTACTGCACATTGTACTTGATTTACACTTTTTGCATTTTTCCATGTATGCAGAATTTACAGCTTCTAAATGGAAAACTTTTTCACTGAGAGATTCTCTGATGGGAGAAAAGTGAAAGCATGTTATTAAGATTGAAAATTAATTAATTTTGAAAATATTAAAATTGAGCAGTTGTTAGGATTGAAAGGAGATTTTGAAGTAAAGTACAGTATGGCTGCATTAATTAAAATGAATTGTAATTTGAACTTTAATTTGAATGATTTTCTAATGCATTTAAAGTGTATCCAAGTGTAGGTGTTTAATATAGATAGAACTTTGGCTGATTCAGATATGTGCATTGAAAACCTGAAAAGGATGGCAACCATGGTTTAGGATCTTTAGATGATATTGTGAACAATTCTGAATCTCAATTAGAAGCAATTTTTGTAGTTGGTGTGTTTCAGCAGATGAAATATTATTATTATTATTATTATTCAGGTATTAAAGAGTCTCATGGTGAGAATAAGGATCTGACTTGCTCTGTTGTTTTAGATTTATTTAAAAATTCTCTCAAAATTGATTTAACCATTGGCTATGTTTAGACAGGTGAAGAGAGTATCAGAGAGACCTAAACTTATTTTCTGTAGTTTTTTGAATTTGGAAATAAAATGAGTAAAAAGTACATGTTAACCCACTAGTTTGGAACTGTACTGGTGTGGTTAATAAATCTTTGTTGTTTTGGTCTTATATTCAAGATTATGATACATTTATTTTCTTTCTTGAAACATGGTTGGATGGCCACACTATATTAGTGTTAGAAAAATATCTGTATTTATTAGAACTATTGCTTATGTCAAGGTTTTTGTCCACCAGGTCAAAAATGTTCCTTTGTTGGAAAAGTTAAACAGTTGGCTACCTGAAAGTAAGCATTTAATATAGATAATTATGCAAGNTTACCAAAATTTCTTCAATATAAGTTGGATTTGGAATAGGTATATTTGTCAATGAAATAAGAACTAAATTCAAATACATTCGAGGTATTTGATCCCGAACAACTAGATGTCTAAATCCTTTCATGCAAGGTCCTGTATTGCATTGTGATATGGCATCTTTAAGAAATTGCAGTGCTAATTGCTTTAAATAAAAAAATACACAAAAGATTATATAATTTTAAAATCTTTATAAGGTTAATTTGTTAAAATTATAAATATTTAGGAATCATACTTTTTGTACTTTATTGCATTTTGGTACACCTTTGATAAAATTACAAGCAGTCACTGAATCAATGAAAGGTATTAAATCTGTTGATTGTCTCACAAGATACAGAAGCTCATCAAAAAGACCTGCAGCTCTTATTTGTACTTCCTCTTCACTAAATAATACTAAATTTGACAAAATATCTTGTGCATTTTGTAGAAAATCTGGAGGCTGTGCTGTTGGTTCTTCAATTTTTTCGTACTCCATTTCTATTCCAGTAGCTCTCATCTCATTAAGTTGATATCTCTGTTTAAATAATGCTGATTTTGCTGATTCTAATGTAAGATGATATCTAAAATATTAAATACAAATGAACATTTTGCTTCTAATATATAAAATTTAAAAAGCTTTTAAATTCTGTTTAATTTAATCATGTATAGCTTATCAGAAACTTATCATTTACATATTTTTAAGATTCATACTTTATATTGGCTTGCACTGAAACTTCAGTATTTTTAGATGAATGTGGGAGAAGAATGTGTTTTTCATGGCAAGAGACTTTTTCTAATTTCATTTGGCCTGAATTAACATCATAATCACAATCAACGCTGGATCTAATTAGAACTTGAGCAAAACTCTAAAACAAAAATTTTGAATAAATATAACTTTCTTTAAATTTAAATTAATAATCTAAATTTAATTTAATTTTTTCATTTAATATTTAATTGTTAATATCTATTCATTTAATTTAATATCAAAAACAATAATTTAATATGATATTTATGATACTACTTCTTAATAAAACAGAATGATCACACTAAATTTATACTTCATTACTCCAAAGTTAAATAAAAATTTGAAAATATAAAAACTCACAGTATTCCAAAAAAGTGAAAATGGAGACAGTTTCCAATTTGGTCGGCTTGGGAATTGACACCTGTTTATGATTTTGTGTGAACTGTATTTCTGATCACTAATTGAATTTGTTTGCCTGGGACAGTTGCCGTGAACATCTCTTTGAGTCTAGTAAGTTTTAAAACAAACATTAAAATATATTATTTGTGATTAATTCTCTATATTTTATAAAAATATATTGCTTATATGAAAAAAATCAAGAAATTTATAAATTAAGAAATATGTGTCTTTATATTTTACAAATCAAATTAGAAATTTTAAATAATTAAAATGTCAAATATCAGAAAAGTGAAATACATTTATTTTAACTTATTTATTAAATTATTTAAACGTATGACATTTATAATAGTTTTATCTTTATTACTTCTTAAAACAAAAAGTATGATGTAACACATATGTCTGTAATAAATGTTTTCAATAAATTATTAGAAATTTTAAAAAAAAGTATATCTTAAAATTGAAACAATTAATAAACTTCTATTATAAATTATTAAAAATTTAATTAATCTAATTAAAAAATGTAATCTTATAAACAGTGACAATAACCCAAAATTCACCTAAATATAATATAAAATTTGTTTTATTGGAACTCACTAGTATTTCGGGAAACCATGCCAATCATCGAGATACACAATCACCTGATGATATAATTTAATATAATTGGCTGTAATTTTCAAATTGCAGATCTATACATTTCCACTGTTGTCTGTCCTTTGTCAATCTCAAGAATGGAGTTAGATAGATGAAAATTGAGACCAGATATGAAAAGCTTAAGGGCTGGAGGCCCTGATTAACTACATACAAACATCCAGTCTGGACCAGAAGTCATGTGATTTTAATTCAAAATTTTCTTGAGAACAGAGTTAAATAGATGACTAGCATGACTCAATTGTTATCAGATGAAGTATAATGTATGCAAGACACTATTAAAATCAATACCAGATATGGAAAACTTAAAGGCTGAAGACCCTAATTAACTAACTATTAGTGATGTGCCGGATCATTAAAAATGTATATCCGCAGATATGGATACGGATCATTAGTGTCTAGATCCGCGGATACGGATCTCAACTTTCATACTCAGTCGGTGCCGGTGCGTGTGACCTTGGACCAATAGTTGATGCTTTGCATTAATAATGTGACATGTTTTGATTTGCACTGCACGTGTTTTTGTTTATAATGTGAAAGTGTGCTAAATTAGAATTCACCACAGGATAACAGAAGACAGACAGGATAAAGTAACAAAAGTTGATATGATTTTCCAATTAAGCTATTTCACATCTTTATACAGATTCTATTTCGGGGGATTCCAACTTCATGGTACAAACAGTAGCATGCGAAATTACAGCAATAATAATAGTTCGCTATATCCAAAGCACGTGTACAATACAGATCCCAATCGCAACAATATAACCCAGAACCTTAAAACTAACCTTAAACACTAACTTAACACTAATAACAGAAAAAGGGATAGAATTAAAAAGACAAAAAATGGTAGTTAAGATAGAAATAGGGATATCTGGGGTTTTGTCCCTTTTTTTGGCTTGTTTCTTTATGCGTACTGTTGAGTGGGATAACACATGTCCTTCTCCTATAACTGACCAGTTCTCTTCTTCAATAATTAGGATTTTTCCTTCTACAGTCGTCAATACGACCTTAAAACAGGATCTTTTTTCTGAACTTATTTCTGAACTATCCGGTCATTGAAAATACAACTCCCAGTACTCTCACCTCGTCCGTACACCCTGCCGCCCGGTTTACGAATGACCTGCTATGTCACTTCTCTTTTTTCTCCGGCTCCTGTTTACACCTTTGCTCCTCAAATTTCTAGGAACTGCTCATACCACCCAAGGGACAGGGAATAGATAAGAAAGTTCTAGAAGAAAATAGGACAATAGAACAAAGGGTAGAAAGAAAAAACGAAACTTAACTTAAATTAATATTTACAAAAATATAGCGTACCGCCACAGTAATTTAGTGCAGTGTTTCCCAACCTTTTTGGTGCTATGCCCCACCTAAGCCTTTCTAAAATTCTTGTCTACCTAACATATACAGCGGCTATACAGTTAACTTAAACTCTGGACAAGTCCATTTTCGAATTGCCCTCCTTAGCAATCCAATTGCCCCCTGTAGGGCGTGGGCCCCACGTTGGGAAACAGTGGTTTGTGGCTAGTGTGACACGGGATAGCATAGATTACGTTTGTGTTTTTGGAGAGTGTTGAGTTAAATTAAAATAAAAACAATGTCGACAAAAAAGTTTAATAGTGTAATATGGAAAAATATTTTATGATAGTAAGTAAATGATGAATGTGCTATTGCTACCTATCTTAAAATTTCATATAAGTAATGAAATTCATTAAGATAAAAGATCCGTTAAAGATCCGCTAAAAAGTAATGGATACGGATCTTTTTTTTCCCTCAGATATCCGCTGATACGGATATGAATATCCGGCACATCACTACTAACTATATAACTTCTGGTCTGAATTAAAAGTTACATGATTTTTTTTAAATTAAGAGATGGTTAAAAATTAGAGCCTGGCATTGTGACAATGTCACAATAAAATAATTGCTCACTAACAATGTTTTCTACTGTTTTTATTAAAAAAAGTGAAATACATTTAATTTCTAATATTTATATTGTTAATTTATTTGAAGTATGCTAGATAAAAGCATGGAAGCAAAAGATGTTATTTTTTCAATTATTAAAAATATCAATGCCATTTTTCATATATAGATAAATCCAAATATAGTTATAAATTAAATAAAAATTCAATCATATTTAATTTTGTTTCTGTATATAATTTCTTCCAACTAACTTAAAGTTAGTCAGAAGAAATTATATACAGAATTAAGTAGTTAAATATTTAAAATGCTTCATTTAAAAGATCTGTTTTATAAATATTATATTTTGTATAAGTCCTGAAGATGGAAAGGTAAAGCTTTCTGAAAACAACATGGCAAAATAAAAATCAAGATTTATAGTTTAAGTACAATAAACCTTGATTTATTATTTAAATACAAACAAACCATTATTTAAAAATAATAGATATACAGTAATCTGTATAATGTAAGAAGATAATATTAATATTCTAGTAAAGAAGAATTTGTTTTTGAAAATTATTGATATACTGGTATTTATTAATCACTACATTATAGACAGATTACTGTATATCTATTATTTAACTATTATTGAGCTGAGTGAGATAAGTTCATTTCTTTATGCTTAAATATCTTTGAATTTAAATAAACTCCTCCAAAAGCACTTGACTGATCTCAACCAAATTTGGTATAGACATAAGTCCAGATCAGTGAATGTTGTAGACTATTTGGAATCCTGATTAGATTGTGTCCTTGATGAATATCATGGAAAAATTCTTCTATAGATTTAAGCTGGGATCAGAGCTGCAATAAGCTTTTCGTAGGCCCTAGGCACCTTTTAATTTTTTAAATATAACCTTTTTCTTTTATCTTTTTAAATTATTCCTGGATGCAAAACAGTAAAAGAATTATTGTTTCTGCAAAGGAGCAGAATTTAGTTTCCAGCTTCCTGCTTTTCTAATACAAATATTGCTCTTAGAATGTACTATATATGTCAATCTTAAGATCAAATTCTGAAGGAGAATGATCTTTTTCAACATTAAATCACATTAAAAATGATTTAAGATCTAATTTGTCTCAAACAAAATTATCATATTTACCTGTACTTTCTGTAGAAAGTGAAATATTAAAACAGTTGCTAGTTGAGGAAATTATTAAAGGTTTTTCATGCAAAAAGTGTAGAAAAGTCTACATAAAATAAACTGACTGAGCAAAAATTTAATGTTTTATTTTAATTCTCATAACTTGTATTTTCTCAATTTTTAACTTCATAGGCCCTTAATTTTTCATAGGCATTAGGTGCTGTGCCTTAAGTTCCTAATGAATAAGACAGCACTGGTTGGATATATATATATATATGAATATATGATAACATCCATAACCCAATATATTAGAATTACAAACAATTTATCAAATTTTGTTTCAGATTATTAATTAGACTTAAAATAGCCCAATAAAAATCAGGCAGATTATTAATTTTAAGATGAGATTTTGGATGCTTATAAAACTTGCTCAGCTCAATATACAGGAGATGAAAACAACAAATGCAATACTAGTTGCTGATATGAGTATTGATTAATATCTTAATTTAAAACTTAAAATATTTTATAAAATTTGTGCATAAAAGATGTAAAATAAGGTTATAGGATATATTATTATAAACTGATTTATATCTTTAAATGCAAAAACTTATTATTTGTACAAGTTTATTAGAATTTATCTTACTCTTTCTTTCCCATCTGCAGAAGATTTGGAAAGAGAAAATCCAGAAATGATACCTCTCTTGATGTTAACTGAATATATTGGATCTTGTGGTAAAGCAAATATAGATCCCAATTTTCCATTATTCAAAGAAAATAATACAGGATACCTATGAAATAATTTATTAATAATTTAAATTCAATATATTATAATATAATTATGTACATTATGTATTATTATGAGTTTCTGTAAGATGTTAATTCCATCTCTAATAACTAATTTTTTGGTGAATCAATTAAATCAGCAGCATAAAATTATTTTTTTAAATCTAGAAGTTTTTGGCTGTTATTCTTTCCTTAGAAACTATCCATTAATCACATGTACAGTTTTAAAGCGATTTTTCACCTCTCCACCTCCCTGTTGCATGCAATAATGTAATTTTAGTAAACCCCTTCCTTCCCTTAAACTGCATGTGTAATTAATGGGCATCCACTTAAACATATGACAATATACCATATATTAAACTTGTATGTCAATTCCACTCATTACATTTTGCATATGTGAATAGTGTAGTGGAACATATCACAAGATTTAACATTCTATATGTGAATATGACAATAAAATATTTAAGGCCATATATGAAATAACTTGAAAATTTTTATACAGTAAAACCTGTGTAAACTGGAATCACACAGTCCTAAATATTTTTTTAATTTGACAAGTTTCTGTTTTGAATCAGTTTTAGTATTTTCTTCTTTTTTATCTGATGTATTTAGTAAAATCACTTTTAAATAAGTAAGAACATTTTATTACAAATACTAGGCTTAATCCAAAGTGAGGACAACTAATGATGGGAGTATTTAAATGCTAGAATTGAGAACTATTTGATTGCAAAAAGTTTGTGTGTGTGTTGGGTATTCAGATCCTTTTCCAATGAGATCTTTATGAGTTTACACAACAGCAAATAAGCCAGTTTCAGTATCAAAAACAAATATGTTACTCTGCTGCTATCAGAAATTGTAATTGTGTTACAGTAATACAGAGACTAAGTTATTCTGTGATCTGGCTTCTTAAGGAATTTTAATACTCTAATTAATTTTATTTCAATTCAAACACAAATTATTTATCGTATTCATACAGACACTTGGCAAAAAAAAAAAGTATTAAATTTAAGTATTATCATAAAGGTTTTAAGTGTATGGAAGAAATTTTAAAATTGTTTAAACTCATCAAAAAAGGTATGTTTTTAAAATAACATAACCTTATATGTTCGTTTATTTATACTGTTGTAACTTGTGAACTTTTATTTTAGTTGGCTGAAGAGGGGCAAGAAATGCCCGAAACGTGTAAGAAAGAAACACGTATCAACTAAATAAAATTTAATTCTGTGATTTGCCAAGTGTCTGTATGAATACGATAAATAATTTGTTTGAATTAAAATAAATTATTGACACGGTTTCAAAAATACCAACTCTAATNTGCCCGAAACGTGTAAGAAAGAAACACGTATCAACTAAATAAAATTTAATTCTGTGATTTGCCAAGTGTCTGTATGAATACGATAAATAATTTGTTTGAATTAAAATAAATTATTGACACGGTTTCAAAAATACCAACTCTAATTAATCATTTACTTCAGTCTTTGTAATTACTGACAATGTTAATCAACATGTTCTCAAATACTCAGCATCAGTAAGTTACTAGCTACTTTGTACATAGCAAATTGGTAACATTAGGTTACACTGCTTGTTCTCAAGTACTTCATCCTTGGAAAACTCGTTTGATTCTGCTTCAGGTTAATTCCATCAAAAACTATTATTATTAATAATCTGTATGTCCCCTTGTCACATAACCTTCATTTCTTTGACAAAGTTCAAAATCATTATTGGAACATAGTTTGTCATGGTCTGCAATGACTGTTATACTTGGAAGTACAGTAATTTCACTTGTCTATAAATGGAATCTTACTTTTCTGCTTTAGCCAGGATATGTATTTCAAACCAAAAACTTTTATTTCTGTGTTGATTCCATGAAGTTCCAAGCTTATAATAGAATTTAATGTAGAAAAATCATTCCATTCCAAAGAATTTTTTTATTTAGGTAGGTTTCCATTTTATTCATGTTCCATTTTGGATAGGTTTTACTGTATATAAATAAATAATAAAACAATGGGATTGGTGTAGACAAATATTAAAATTAATAAATTCTAAAAATTTTTCCGTTTAAAAAAACTTCTAAGAACCACAAGTGACGTTCACTCTTTAATTCCAACTTCGATAGAGTTTAAAAAAACAGAGAAAACCAGAGAATTATTTTCACTATCTCTTACTTTATTATGTTATCCATATATATTTCGCTATTTTAGCCTCTTCAGTGGATTATGCAAATAGTTTAAATAGGAACATTAAATTTACTTATGAAGAAGAAAAAAATTATGAAATTAATTATTTAGATGTAATAATCACAAGAAAAAATGAAACATTGCTGTTCCGAAAATACGAAAAAATATGTAATAATAATAAGGTGATTAATTACAAGTCATATTCTTCTATAGGAATAAAAAGAAATGTTTTTTTGATGGAATTAAAGAAAATATTTAATAGAACAACTTTAAAAAAATATATTGAAATTGAAACTAAGAATCTTTTTAAAAAATATTTATTGAATGACTATCCACAACAGCTTATACGTAAGTGGTACAATTCGTATTTAAATAATAGATATAATGTTAAAAATAATAAAATAGAAAACTTATATATTAAAATTCCATATATTTTCAAATTTTATGAAAAATATAAAACTTATATTAAAGAATTGTTCTCAGTCAATTTAGTAGGTGAACAAAAAAATAAATTAAATAACAGTATTTGTCTGATTAATAAAGCAAATGAAAAACAATCGAAGAATCCTTTAGAAGTTGCAGAAGTCGTATATGAATTGATGTGTACGTGCACAGAACGGAAAAGCTACGTTGGAGAAACAGGAAGAAAACTGGAAGTGAGGCTAAAGGAGCATGAGGCGGCAATTCGATTGAACAGAACTGAATCCCCGTGGCAACAACACTGCAGTATTAAAAATTGTCTTATTGATCGTAGTAATATTAAAATTTTGTATAAAGAAAAAAATTTTGTAAAAAGACGCATCATAGAACATTACTGTATTAAAGAACATGCAAATTGTATAAATTTAAATACCGGAGCATATGTCGATGCATGCTGGGATAGCTTGATGAACTATAATAGTACTGGCAACTAAACAGTGTAATATCCACTGAAGAGGCTAAAATAGCGAAATATATATGGATAACATAATAAAGTAAGAGATAGTGAAAATAATTCTCTGGTTTTCTCTGTTTTTTTAAACTCTATCGAAGTCGGAATTAAAGAGTGAACGTCACTTGTGGTTCTTAGAAGTTTTTTTAAACGAAAAAATTTTTAGAATTTATTAATTTTAATATTTACTGTATATAATTCTTTTGAAATTTTTGAGTAAACTGGCTTGATAAATCAATGTATTACAAAGGGAATCAGACAGACATCCTCAGGTTACAACTGTCAAATGAGGATGTCAATTTGAATACAGATGAAAATATTTGTTTGAGTAAAGGTTGAAGTTTATTTGCTGGTTTTGGGTGTCAGTGTATATTATTTGTAATTAATATTGGTTTTGTGTGCTGATTCTTGACAATGTATGTAATGAAATTTTAAAATATACAATAAAAGTGGATAACCAGTTACATAAAATTCTTTTATAAATTGCTTTAAAAGTGATTATGGATAAGTGAAGATATTCCTCAACAGGATGGATAGAGGTGGTGATCCTGTAGAAGGAATGTTGTGATAAATTTAATATATAATGCAGTTGATGTATGCAAGATGTTTCAGGTATGATAAAAAATTTTATTTCTTTTGTACTAAAAGTTTATATTAATTCAGTTAAATATCTCCAATCTGAAATTAATGGCACAAAGGAACTGTGTTGAGTTATTGAGGTTGTTGGATTACTACAACATTACTCTGAAAATACTTAAACTGATTTATTAAAAGCAAGCATAAATCTTAAATTATGTTTGTGACATTTTTATGTCAACAGTTTATTTTTAAAGATAATTCTTGATTTAACAAAGATAGTTGTTTTTTTTTTGAGTAAAAAGTTTATTTTTAATGTTTACTGTGGGTAATTATTACATTCTTTTTTTTCTTCTTTTATCTCATTGTCTTCATTTATTACCACAGGACAATATTGCTGAAATAAATTAGCTTTTCAATCTTATGAACAATTTTCTGTTGCAACTGTTTCTTTGAATACTAACATTCATGCTTGTGACACCTGATAATCTGTTGGTAATTGCTACAATCTAACTTGTTTACTTTGTAGTCAATAGAATAAAAAAGCTCATAAGCTTAATGGATTTATACTGTAAATGGACTCAGTAGCTTTTATAAGAATGTTTCTAATATTTCCTAGGTAATTGTTGAATTAGAGAGGCAATATTACTATATGTATACATGAAATAGTGTTGTAATTCTGAGTAGAGTAATGTTGGATCATTGAGTTAAACAAATACATTAAGACTATAGTTGTTAAAAGTGTTCTAAGTGTTGGCACAAAGAGGATGTCAGATTAGAGAGGTTTAACTGTGTTTATTTTTCATATGAAAAAAATAAATTCATTATTGACTTACTCAGTTAACTCGGATAAATCACGATCTTTTACCCAATACTGAAGATTTCCATTTGGTCCTCCTCCTGCTGAAGTTTTGCATCCAGAAAGCTAAATGAATAATAAGGTTTATTTGAATTTTGTATCTGTTTTTTATTCATAAATATTGTGAACATATTTGTTACTAAAATTAAAATTTAAAAAATGTATTTTTTATTTTGTTTAGTTTTCTTACCTCTAAATTATAGAGGCAATTAACAGCAGCACTCACTGTTACAGAGCATTCAAGTTCTATCTCACTAGTTCTATCATTTACTCCAGCAAAATCTACATTGCCAACTGAATGATAGCGATATTTATAGACATGCCCAGGTTGTAAAAAGCTCTCTGGTAAAACAAATAAATATTGTTAAACTCTTATAACAATTTGCATATATTTATTCATATCTTTATTTTATTTTATTTCTTACCTGAGTCAGAACTGTGCCTACATTCCTTTTTAACAATATCCTGTAAATCTGCATCTATTTAAAATTGAAAAAATTCATTTAAAATGAAATTAATAATGGTTTTTAAGAATCTTTTAACACTAGATCAACTATAATTTACATTTAGACAAATTTAAAATTACTATTATTAATATATTAAACATCAGCATCAATCTATATTTACTTGCATATAATACGAGGTTTTCACAGCTTCAAATTTCTAGATTGTCCTATACATGTGAGTGAAAGATTCTTTGTGATTTTGCAAATAATTTTTGTAAACTGTGTATTCACATTTTTTACCGGATGTTTACCTCTTGCATTTAAAAACGTATTATATCTGGGTCATTTAAATTGTTCTTGTATATTGTCAGAAGTAAAGATGAATAGCAATAGGAAAAGCAAAGCTTTTGAATTGAATTCCAGATTGAAATTCCAAAATCACATGGGAGCCCAATATAAGTTTTAATCCTTTCCCATGTGAAAATAGATGATTATTTGGAACTCAGAATTCGGAGAAACTCATAAGTGTCTCCGAATCCAATGAAGAGTGGATTTGACTATTAAGAATTGGCAAAATAAGATTTCCGATTGTCTAGCTTTACATGAACAAATTATGCTGTTGATTTTACAAGATTTTTCCTTAAAGTTTAAAATGCCAGTAATTTTTGTGGGACAGTGTGTGCATTTACATTCATTTGATATTTTACTTGTGATTAAACAAAATAAAATTAGGATTGTATTAATAAATCTAATTTTCTTTACTTTGATCTTTAAAGTCACACCTCATCCTATATGCGAGGTCATCTCATATGTGAGTATATACGATATATGTATATATACATCAAGGTTGGGCCAATGACAATTGTGGGTATTCACAATTGGAGCTTGCAGGGCATAGTTCCTCAGTCCCTGCATTCAGATGGCAAATGGTTGGTAGTAGTATTCTTCAACTTTTTCAATATTCAGTCACCTTCAAAACATATCACCAGTCCATAACTGGATCCTCACACAGGTGCTCTGAGTTCACACCCCTATCTGGGGTCTAAAGCCTACATCCCTTTCAGTGAAGGAGACTGAGCAAGAAACACTTGAAAGGCAGTCATTAGTAGAACTGCTATTCAACTGCTATTAATTTAATTTAATAGAAAAGTAGGTTAGACATTCAATTTTGCAAGGTATAGTGAATCACTCAAGAATATAGAGTTAAATGTACTGGTTCAATTTTCACTTCCTAAATCATTCACACACACACTCCAAAACCAATCATTTTTAGCACTACCCACATTTTATTGGTCAACATTACTGTCTTTTGAGAGACTAATGTCGACCAATTAGTTGTCATATTTTTAACTTACAGAATTACTGTAAGTTTAAAAATATGACAACTAATCATTCTGTTAGTGGATTTTGATAATCAGCAAACATTGCTTCAAGGCAGCTTTCCTTTAAGTCAATAGCTTTTGTCATACATAAAGTGATCAGATGTCCCAAATTGGGTAGGACAGTCCTGCTTCTTAATAAGCTGTCCCAATAACTGTATAAGCCAGCATATTAAGAAAGCTTTTAAAATTGTATGCAAAAGTCCCACTTTTGGACTGCTTCGTAATTATATTCAAAAATAGCCAATATTCATTTCATAAACTGTAAATCAAAAATAAATCGCATACAAGTAATAACAAAATTTTAGTATGCAACTTATAAAAACAATAACCTAATTGGCAATTGTCCAGTCTGACAATTCTATCTATCATGAACAGTGAATGTATATCATGTGCATCATTGTTGGGTTTTGCTAATTATCTGAGTTAACAAACATCTGAGTTAAAAAACAGTGATTAAAGCAAACAATTCTAAACTTGGAGCTATAATTAAGTAGTGATACCTAAATTAATAGTTCTGGCAGCAAAGGAATGGTCAAAAGTCCAGTTAGTGTATATAGCAATGCAAATGCACAGTAAGTGAAAGTTGTGGAAGATTCACGAGTCAGTTTTAAGTCAGAGTCAAAGTCAATTTACAAATTTTAAGGAGTGGATTAATTTGAATCCTCTCCATCATCATCCAGGTACTCCCAATGTGGTACAAATCCAGATGGGTGAAAAAATCACAAGAACTTTTTGGGGATTGTCCTTTCCTGATATGGGATCCTGGATACATCCATAGAATCCACAAGGAGGAAAGAGTATAAAAAATAATAAAAAAAAACATCAATGTGGACTGGCCAAATCCATGATGGGAATTGAGAAATAAAATCTTAAGGGAATATCTATTAATTACATGTATAGTTTAAGGAAGGGAGAGATGAAGAGGTATATCCAGGGAGGATGCTTAGGTTGATACCAAACCAATCACTTTTGTTACTTTAAAATAAAAATAAATAACACACATCACTTAACTTCAATTAGGTAAGGTTAGATAACTAAAGTAATTCTAAGGTAACTAAGTAACATTCTCTGAAAAATGGCAGGGGTATCCTCCAAATCTGCCTTGAGCAACATCCAAATTCTCAAAATCCTGCATATGCCACTAGGAGAGGAGATTGCAAAAAGTATATCATTATACACATTGCTAATGAATGGTCTGCAATATTCACATAGCAGAAGAATTAAGATTAAAAAATATAGGCCTACATATTGTAGTTATCAGTTGACAAATGTTATATCATATTACACTATATAGTAGCATTAAGTGTTGAATTTATACATCGTTCTGTTCAGAGCCGGCCCTACCATAGGGCAAACGGAGCAACCGCTCCAGGCGCTAAGTCTGAGGGAGCACCTCAGTGGTAAAGAAAATTAAAGGGTATAAATTAGGGGCGCCATAATAGGATCTTGCTCCATCCTAAAACTTGCCTCGGGCCGGCACTGGTTCTGTTTACAGTTCTGCAAGAAATTTAGTTTTTCTCTGATTCTTGTTAAAGCTAAGACATTCTTTCTGTACAACTTGGCCACGACTCCATCAAATGCATAGAAGTGTAAACATGGTGTCGCCAGCCAAGTTGTACAGAAAGAACGTCTTAGCTTTAACAAGAATCAGAGAAAAACTGAATTTATACATCATAAAAGAAAAATGTTTTGTTAATAGCTGAGCATTTTACAAAATTGTGGATGCTATTTTTCTATTCTAAAAGAATATCATAACTATAAAAGAGTAAACAGTAGAATTATTATGTAGCATTAATTAAACAGACTGACAATGTGCAATATACAGAAATTTATATTTTGAGACTCTTCTAAATAAATAGTTAATAGTAAAGCTGAATACTTTGAAAACTGTAAGGCATTTGATTAATTATAATAATTTATAATAATTTTTTAAAAATCTATTTATAGTATACAGTATTTACAAAAAATCTTAATTTTAATATTCTTTATACTTTTCAGTCTTTTTGTATTATTAGATCTGATAGAAATGTTAATTCAAATATTGACTTGAATATATGATTTAATGTTAACAAAATTTAATATCACATAAAATCTATTCAAAATTAAATAATGTTTATTTAGAAAAACAATATGCAATGGAAAATTGGAAACAAAAAGAATAACATGTAGGAAATAAATGTCATCGAAACAATACGAAAATGATATTGATTCAAGTAAAAGAAAAATCTGACGACACGTGGTTCCATTACTTCAAGTAATTTGTGGACTTATTCAAAATAAACAATACAAAGAAAATCGAAATATAATATTTGATCATTACTAAAATTTTCCTATTTATTTCATTTCAAATTTTGATTTCTATCGAATCTATTACAATTATCCTATTTATTTTTCCGAATTAGTCGCCTCTAGATCGTAATATATGACCAAAGCACTAATTCCCCAAATACGACAAAAAGAATTGAAAAAAAATCTTAATTGTGTCCAAAAGACCAAGACTACCAGATAGATTACCCAGGTATGCTCATACGCTTCCGTCACGTGTGCAGCCATATTGGTCCTTTTGACGTCATATTCCAAGATTTTTAAATTTAGCTGTATTTTATAACTAGTTGCACTAAATTTTGGCAAAGTTTATCATTTCGACCTTGCAAAATCTTAAGATACAGTTGAATTTATGATTATTTTCGTGTCTCTCCTATTGAACTTCTACGAGAGTCGTCTGCTTTCTAAGGACCAACATGGCGGATGAGCATACCTGGGTTATCTAGCGCCTTAGTCTGACCCAGATATATTAGAGCAGTCCTGGATTAGAGGCTTCTTTCTCATCATCCAGCTCACTTATTAATTAATTAATGCTAGTCGAATACCAATAAAAAATTCACTTTGTTTAATAAAATGTTTTTAAGAAATATAACAAAAATTATTCTAGGATTTATTATTATTATTTGTTGATATATATCGTATTTTGTTTGTTTTTTTTTTTATAGTTATTACAAAAACTACTCTTTTACTATGATTTCACGGAAGATTGAAGTGAAAAGTGAATCTAATGTTGATAGCGTACTTATAAAGTAGCTTTAATCATTACGTAATTTATACGATCCTTCTCTGGAGTAAAGTGAGCGACGTAGGAAAATGGTCGATCGACTTTTCCTACGTCAAAGTCGATGTATTCAGGAACGGATCTACACAGGGACTAATAGGGCTTAAGCCCTGGACCCACAAAAATTGAATTATCATCATAAATATTTAATACTTTTTTCATTAAAAATGAGCACTTATCGTATAGTAAAAAATAGTTGATATTAATAATATATGGTAATAATAATTATAATTTATAGTATTATTTGTATTAACAAAAAATGGGGTATCATTGGACTTCAATAAGCCCTAGGCCCTGAAAACCTATATCCGCTCCTGGATACATTATTTGTATTATTTATATTACTTTAAACAAAATATTTGCAATTACTTCAATCACAACACTTTGAATATGTACATTTAATAATAAGTTTTAATTAACAAGAACATTTCCTCAAATAAGATGTTTTATTTTTTATGAACAAAGACAAAATTTCCTGTTAAAAAAAATGGATTAATCACGAGTGTATAAAATAATAATAATAACAATAAGCCAGAAATTGAATT